ATGATGTGCCCCAAAAACTCTAGCCTGTCTTGGAAAAACTCACACTTGAAACCCTTGGTCAGTACACGGTTTTCGTCTAAAATCTTAAACACTGCTTCTAAGTCCATTAAATGCTGCTGCTTGTCGCGGCTGTAAACGAGGATGTCGTCGAGGTAAACTATTACGCATTTGTCTAAAAGCGATCTAAAAGCCTCGTTCATGGTCATCTGAAAAGTGGCGGGGGCGTTGGTCAGTCCGAAGGGCATGACGGTGTACTCGAAAGATCCGTATCTAGTTCTAAAAGCTGTCTTGGCGCAGTCTGACGGTTCGACTCGAATCTCGTGTAACCGTCCCGTAACTCAATCTTCGAGAATACTCGAGCTGTTCGCAGTTGATCTATCAGTTCGTCAGCGCGGGGAATCGGGTATCGTGATTTTATGGTTACTCGGTTCAGTGCTCGGTAGTCAATACACATGCGAAACCCTCCGCTTTTTTTGGTGTGAACAGTATCGGTGCGGCGAACGGTGACGAGCTCGGTCGGATGAACTGCTTCTCTAACAGGTAATCTCATTGCTTCCTTAGTTCGTCGAGTTCGGGCTGTGTCAGTCTGAACTGTCGCTGTACAGTTGGCCGTGCCCCCGGTTCTAACACTCTCTTGTGGTCGTATGCGCGCTGAGGTGACAGTCCTTCCGGTAAGTCATCCAGGAAAATCCCCGGGTATCGTTTTAACAGTTCCTGTAGTTCGGGCGGTACAGCTTCGAGCTGTTTCTGAAAATCACTCGGCGCCTCTGCTGCTTCCACTATTGCAATGTCTAATGCGTACACGTCAGCTCCAGCGGCGACAGCCCGTTTCATCGTGATGACGTTGACGTGGACCGTTGAATACTCAGGTGACTGCCAGCGAGGTAGTTCGACCCAGTTACCGCTGCTTCGCACAGTGCAGCTGCATGTCGTCCAATCAATTCGCGGATTGTAGCGTCGCAGCCAATCACGTCCCAGTAAAATGTCGTGCCCATCCAGTGTCGTCGCGAGCATTTCCTGTGTAAACCCAAAGTTACCCCCGCAGCGGACTTTCACTCTCTCCACTTTCTCCCGTATGGCCAGAGGCGTGCCGTCGACTATGCGTGCGTCCATCTCCAGTAAGCAGCGCTTAAGTGTCAGTTGAAGTTTTCGGGCGGTCGCGGTGTTAACTAAGCTGTGACTTGCTCCTCCGTCGATAAGAATCTTGACTGCTGTTCCCTGTATTTTCCCGTAGATCAGCATTGGGCAATCCGTCGCTGTACCCTCCCTATTCATCCGAGCTCGATCGATAGCATGAGTCGGAACTGTGACTCGGTGAGGGTCGGTGAGGTTGGGTGAGCAGCCTGTCTCATCAGTAGTTGGCCCGACTTCTACTGACTGCTAGCGTTTCTCTGCCTCTGAGACTCCCTCCCCTGCTCTGCTCCCCGGCGCCTTAGTTCCTCAGGGCATTCGCTCTTGCGATGTCCCGGCCTGTTGCAAGCGAAGCAGCGCCCCTTAAATGGCGGAGCAACTGCATTCGCCGCAACGGCGTGTACGGTGGCGTGCTCGATCGGCCACCGAGGGCGATGTCCGTAGTAGGACACCGGTCTCGGTCGGCGTAGGACATCGATTTTCTCGGCGAGCGCTAGGATCGAAACAGGGCGGGCGTTGCGGCTTGAGCGGCATCGGCTCGTAAATGTCGTCGTTGCCTGCTGGTGCTGTAAATTCGACGTGACGGCGCGTTTCGCGCGGCGGATTCACGGTCGGAATGGCCCTGGTCCTCGTCATGCCAGGCATTGATTGGGCGGCGCCATCACTGGCTACGCCTGAGCGCTGTCCCACGCTGTCGTGCTGCGACGGTGTGCCGGACGAAATGACGATCGGCTCGTCCGTTTGTGCAGGTACATTTGCAGGTGTTGGTGTTGGTGCAGGTGCGTTTGTTGCTGACTGCCGGCGGGCGGCGACGAGTTCTGCCGTGAGCGTCGCGACTTCGAGAGCCGAATTCTCGAGTTGGCTCACGAGGCGGTCGGGCTGCTCCTGCGTCAATGTCGCGACATTATATTCAGCCATGGCAGGGGTGTCGGGCGAGCTCAGCGGGAGCCTCAGTCGTGGCCGTGCGTGCTTACGAGAGAGCACTTCGAGCGGCGGTGCTTGTTTGCTAAGAGACGTCTACCCCCCCCAAAAATTAAGATAGTGGGGAAGCAAAGGTGTGGGTGCCGTCCGAGAGAAGATCATAGGCTTTGAATACCAAGTGTTACGAGTGCAATTGAGCGAGCGAGCGAGAATTGCACTATCGAAGCAAAACAGTACAATGAGCGAAGGAATGAGCGAGAACTAAATAGCGAAGGCCACAGTGGTAACAGTAACGAACTGTGGTTGACGCGCGATGGGCCTGTGACTGAGGTCGGGACTGAGGTTGGGAAAGTGTCGAAGCGGAGGCCCGCAGCGTGGGTTACCAGCCGAGCCGGGAGGCTGGGTTGTGACGTGCAAAGTGGTGGGAAGATTGTCGAAGCGAGGGTCGCGAGTGGTAACGGTGCCGAGTGTGGTGAGAACAGTAATGTACGCGTTACGCAGGGATGCGGCGTAAGGAAAAGGAATTTTCCTTACAATGAGCGAAGGCATGAGCGAATACTTATACGCGAAATATGCAAACGGTAACGCGGTGCGTGCGAGCTAGCTAGTGCTAGGCTGGCATCGAAGTTCGGGCTAGTCCCGAAGCGTAGGCCGACTCGACCAGGCCAGCGGTGCATGGTTTGGTAAAACAGTGCGCGCGAAGTTGGCAAAGCCCCGTTAGCAGTAACGGGCGAACAACGGCTGTTGCTGTACGGGATGTTTACGTACGCGGTAAGGAATGTCGAGAAAATTCCTTACAGTGAGTGACGACACAGTCCGATTGCACTACAACGACATTTCGAAACTATATAATTGAACCTTTGTAGTGATTTTGTTGCTTGATCTTTTTAGTGCGTTATTGTAATGAAATTTCCTTTTCCTTATCGAGGTTGACTGTTACGCGTACAACCCCGACATTTCGGACTTCGCACGTTCGGCGACATCCACGATTCTGAGGCTGCCTCGCGTCGCCTTCGGGTTTTGTTCACCAAACCTGCAAGCAGGGCTGTTTTTATCAGGGTAATTACCCTGATTTTAGTGTGATTCCAGACCTTCCACTTTGTTGAGACTGAAATTTCAGAATCAATGAGTTCTCAACCCTGATCAAATCAGAGTAATAGTTTTCCTATCCCTGATTTTGGGTATAGTGTAACATACAAACCTGTTAGTGGTCCCTGACTTAACAAAGTATCGACTCTGTGGTCCCTGAATTTGACCTTACCGAGAAGAAGTTTCTCGAAAATTTCCTTCCAATAACCCCGCCTTCTGATTGGTCGCAGTACAGCTAGCGCGTGAGCAGCGCACAGCAGCATGTCTGACAGGTGCGTACACTCTATGTATGTTAGTTTCACGAAGTTTGAATAGTTTGGTTGTAATGTCGTAATTTCATGGCCGTGAAATTACCAAAATACTTTTAGCGTTTCGCACAACAAAGTTGGCGAATTGCGGGTAATCGGCGAACATATAATCTTGGCACATCTCTGGTATCGAACTGTTTGGTTTACCGAAATTGCTCGTCTCTTCTGTTGACTGATATAACGTTGTGCGGAAGCGATTAAATTGGAACTACAAACAAAACTTAGCAACACTTAACATCACTTGCAGCCCTTCGAGTGTGACAGCTTGTCACCTCCCAGCCAAGGGCGAAATAAAAAAGCAAGTGAGTAGTTATGCCTTGCTTATGCTTGTAGGACAAGTAAACTGGTCGAGCAGAGTTTCGGCAACAACGTGATCGTTTCTACTCTCGTCAATACGAAGTAGTAGAATTCAAGCTTGAAAAACGCGAATGCATTGAATTAATTTCGACAAGTACAAGCACACATTTATATAGATTCTACGCACAGGCAAGGGCAAGCAAAACAGTTGGTTAACCAGCTCGCAGGATTTCGTCACGCTGTACTTGAAAACGGTTGCACAACTCCTTGAGCATTTGGCTATATCCTCCTCTTGTTAAAATCTGTCTTCAAACTGTACTTGTAACAGTTGCCCGTGCTGAGTCAAATGTGTGCACTCATGAGACTCGCATGTGGCTCCAATGTAGCTCCAATGTCTTCATGCGAGCTCACAATTATATAACGGTTTTTACCGTTTGAAAAACGGAGTAACCGATTTGCACCTGTGTCGAAATGATTCCGCAAAGCGAAATGACTTTCGTGAGAAATTTCCCGTTCCGCGAGTCAACGCGGAATACAGTTTTTCAACTGTAAATCCGAGCACCCCCCACGTGCCACACGCCACGACAGAAATGACAAGACTCAAGATTCAGTTATCCAACTGAAATCTCGAGTCAAACCTCGAGCACCCCTTGCGATCCCTTGGCACCCCCCGAAACATACGCGCACCCCTGAGGGGCACGCGCGAGATCTTGACCCAACGCGCGGTCCAGATTCTCGCGCTCATTTTACCTTGACCAGTTCGAAAGTCAACTAGTCCCCACCAGTCAAACTATCGAGCCCCTCCCCCTTTGACCCGTACACCACTCGCTCGCATGAGCCACGCATGAGCCACGCATGAAACATTAAAACTGATGGGACTTTCATGGAAAGCTCATTTGAGGCTCATTGGAGCTTCATGAGAGCTTTCATTTGAGCTTTCATTTGAGATTCATTTGAGCGCGTCATGGGAGCCTCATTTGAGCGCTTCATGAGAACAGTGAACACGAAACTGAAAATGCACAAACACAAAATGCAATTACAAATGAAAACGAAACAAAAGAAAAATGCAAGGACGGATGCGCACAGAACACAGACAAAATGCGCACACACAAAATGCAAAGTGAAATGACATTTCTCATGCCACAAATTACCTTCAAACAAAACTCTCCATTTTCTTTTACCGTCGGCGAGTAGGCGGTAGGTTGCCATGCAAACCATGTATTGCACTCAACAAACACCCCCTCAACCTGCCGACTATTCTAATCCACCCCCGACATCAGTGGACTTGACAACCCGCTTCACTGCTTCAGTCATTCGCATAGGAGGGTTGGCACCCTTGCCCAACTGCTCCCCCTTCTTGAATAACTCTTTCCTTTCGCCTTTCAGCAATGCCGCTGCATAGCTAATCCCAACTCCAGATTTGAGGAAAGCACTCGTCTGCTCCCCCACAATCTCAGCTTCCTTTAGACTGAGCATCACCTTGGGTTCACCAATCTCCTTCGCCTCATCAGCTGCATAACCTCCCACATTCAGCACCAAAGATTTCTCCTTTTTGGCAGCACCCTTCAGCTGCACCATGGCCTTGTGTTTCTGCTCCTCACGAGTGTCACTCTTGGGAACTGCTTTCTCCTCGTCTTCAGCAGCAGCCTCAACTATGCTCCCCTTGACATCTGCACCGTTTTTCTCATCAGCAACGAACACATTTCTCTTTTCAGCTGCTGCAAGTCGGATGTTGACCTGCTGCAACTGCTGCACCAATATCTCCACTGTCACCTTGAGCTCCTTAATCGTTTCAGCCGCTATAGCACACTCCCCCTTGCATCTACAGACCACATTCTGCTTCACAGGTACCACCTCCTTCCATGGCACCACTGGCACATGCCAAAGCTCGTCATGCACGTCCTTGTTCTCGTTCAAGTCCCAAAGCACTCGATTACAAAGCTTTCCCATGAAATTCTCAGCTCCATTGGTTGCCGTGGATACACCTGCAATGCCCATTTGCCTCAGGGAAATCAAGTTTCCCTTTAGCTCCGGCACCAAGAGCACATCCTCCAACACAACCGGCTTCCCGTCAGCTCCCTTGAATGCTGCCTTGCCGATTCCCACCACTTTCATTTTGTAACCGCATCCTGAGTTCATCTCAATGATGCTTGTTTTGTCAATTTCATTCAGCAGGTCCGCCCTCGGGGTCATGTGGTGTGCTGCTCCAGAGTCCAGGATCCATGTGTTGAGAGGAGGTGGATCTGCTCCATTCTTTGCAGATGCCTTCTCGCTCCCCCCATTCCTTTGCACGTGGAAAAACTGCCCTGGACCACGCTCCCAACTGTCTTCCCTCTCATGTGCGGTCTCTGCTACATAGCCAACACCGTTCTCCTCTCCATCATCATCCTCACATCCAGGAGTCCACCACTTGGGCCGCTTCCAGCACTTCGCCCAAGTGTGACCCGACTTCTTGCTGTACCAACAGGTGCCCTTGAACCCGCGGTAGCCGCCACAATCATCTTCTTCCTCATCATCACTTTTGCTCCTCTGCTTGTTCTCATCACGCCTATTTCCAAGTCGGCCGCTCCTGCCTTGTCCACGTTCACCTTGACCACGACCATTTCCCTTACGCCACTTGCTGCCCTGTACTCCGTACCCACCATCACCATCATAGTTTTGGCTCAGCTGCCTCCTCCTAAACTCCTCCTCTAGGATTTTAGTTCGAACCCACTCAAGAATCCAGAGGCTCTGGTTTTGAGGAAGGCTCAAGCCGCTTGTGAAGACCATCCATGACTCTGGCAGCAGTGACAACATTTTCAAACACTTCGTTTGCTCCGGGTAGGTGATGCCGCCAATTTGCAGTTTTGCATACAACTCTCTCATCTTGTCAAGAACCGGCTTAATCTGCTCCCCTTCACTCATCCGCAATGACGCCAACTCACGTTCAAGCATGAGTGTTGCAACCACCGACGTTGGCGCGTGTAGCTCCTTGAGAACTTTCCAAGCTTGGGGCCCGCAATCATCTTTTTCCAGCAGATGCATCACGTGCGACCTTTGATTCAGCTCCAGGCTCTGAGATAGGAGATAGTAGCCGGCGGTCGAACGTTCATCCCACTCCTCTTGCAAGACGGGGTCGCTTGGCGTCTTCTCCACACCCGTCATTATCTTCAGTAATCCGACTTGCCGAAAGTAGAGCTGCATTTTCCACGCCCAATCGTCGTAGCCACTGCCGTTGAACTTGTCGACGACGAAGTTCTTGAGCACATCTTTCAATAGTTACCTGCATGGACCCCAAACTACATCCAAGCCCCGTGCGTCAAAGCCATCACTATTGCCCGCCACTTCAACCGAGGCGCGCAAGTGTTGCTGTGTGTTTGCGCGAGTTGGCAACCGACACCGAAGGAAAAGACATCGAGAAGTTGTGCGCAGCTGTACCGCCCAATTAAGCGGAGCTGGTTCAACAGTACCCTGATATCTTCCCCGACGATCTGCCACCTGGACCACCACCCGAACGCCCCGAGGACCACAAGATCCAGTTGGAGCCCGGCGCGCAACCGACCGTTCGTACACAGTGGCGGCTGACTCAGCCAGAACTCGAGGAGCTATGAAGCCAAATCAAGGCACTGTTGGAGAAGGGGTTCATTCGACCCACAACATCTCCCTTCGCAGCCCCGATCCTGTTCACGCCGAAGAAAGAAGGCGGCCTTCGCATGTACATCGACTATCGCGCGCTCAACAGAGTTACCATCAAATCCCGCTATCCCATCCCACGCACCGACGACCGTCTCAATCAACTTCGTGGCACTCTCTATTTCTAAAAAATCGACATACGTGGCGGTTACCATCAGAGGATTGCCACAAGACCGCGTATCAAACTTGCTACGGGAGCTACGAATTCACATTGATGCCATTCGACCTCACAAACCCGCCTTCAACTTTTCAGCTGACCATGAACAGTGTGTTTTGGGATCTGCTCGACAAGTCGGTTATCGTCTATGTGAACGATATTCTGATTTTTAACAGGACGCGTGAACAACATCTCCGCGACCTCGATGCAGTGTTTAAGCGCCTATAGGACAACCGCCTCACCACCAAGGGCTCTAAGTGTGAGTTCTTAAGGCAGGAGTTGGAGTTTCTGGGGCACGCAATTTCCCACGACGGGACTAGCAGCGCGAGCAAGGTCAGACTCAGGGCCAAGTACGTCAGGAAGAGAGGACGCTGGAGGAGTCGGCAGGGCAAGACGCTGTGGAACAGAGGAAGAACGAAGTGCCATAGTGTGTGTGTCGGGGACAGGTGGAGGCCGAACACGACGAGCCCGATGAACAGTGCGAACAGGAGAGGCAGGACGAGATGCAGGCTCACAACGCTCTATCAGGGAGTCGGTCTGCTCAGTGTAATTAGAAGGAGCAGGCAGTGGGGAGTGAGGCTGTAACTGTGGCTTGGACTTGTTAGGCGAAGGACACAGTAGGGGAGGAGTAAGACCAGTGGAAGACGGAAGACTAAGAACTTGGTGAAGCGCCGAGCCGGGTGGTGGCACCAACGACTCCGGGTGCTGCCAGAAAAACGGTCAGCGCTGTAGTGGCTGCGTGGCAACCCTATTACCATAACCTCCAGCACCAGTATCTCCAGCTCCAGCACCTCCAGCACCATTAACTCCAGCTCCAGAACCTCCACCACCAGTACCTCCAGCACCAGTAACTCCAGCACCAGCACCTCCAGCACCAGTAACTCCAGCTACAGAACCTCCAGCACCAGTAACTCCGACACCAGCACCTCCAGCACCAGTAACTCTAGCTCCAAAACCTCTAGTACCAGGACCTCCAGCCCCAGTACCTCGAGCTCCAGCACCTCCAGCTCCAGTACTTCCAGCTCTAGCACCTCCAGAGTCAGCACCCCCAAACACAGCACCCCCAGAGTCAGCACCCCCAGAACATGCACCCCTAGAGCCCGCACCTCCGGTGTCACCATCCCCAGCAGCACCAGAGTCCACAGCGACAGGCTACGGAGGCGGAGAACCGGGAGGGGTCTCCAAGCGTGGTGAGTAGCGAGTGGTCGCATTGTCGTCAGCAGCAGGGTCATCCCCCTAAGCTGGGCCAGAGGTGTCAAAGGAGACCTCCAAAGGCTCAACCAAGGGGGGTGGGTCAACCAAGACACACCTGAGGGAGCAGGACCCTGTGTGGGGAGGGGGTCTACTGTGGGGGGGGACCTGGAACCAGGAAGAGAGGCAAGGGGGGGGTGGGGGACGGGGGACGTGCGGTGGGGGAAGAGACGGTAGTAGCAAACCAACTCGCTAAAGGTGACAACCTGGGAGGACAGGACGTGAGGCGTGGCTGGGTGGTGAAACTGCCAGCCAGGCCCGTTGGTGGGAAAGACAAGGAAGACGCAGCGAATGGTGCGAGAAGAGAGCTTGCCCGCGGTGGTATCGCGGACAAAGGCAAGCGAACCCCCGACCCGAAAAGCCGACGAATCACTAACCTGCCCCGTCCAACGCAGTGTGGGCGAGGTCTATGGCAGGAAGAGATGGGGAGCAGCGTATCGGACCGCAAACGGCCACAGAAAGTGGGGAGCAGCCGCAAGGTGCGAGAAAACTCAATGATCAAGCCAATGCGGCGCTCAGCAATCCCATTCTGTGGTAGAGAGGTCGGAAGCGTGAACGACTGGGCGATGCCCTCCTCACGATATAAGTCCTCAATGTGGCTGGAAAAAAACGCACCACTTGATCAGAGTGCAGTCGCAGGACGTAAAGGTCCTACTGGAACCGTGCGCTCAGCTGGCGACGGACGGATCAAAGGGATCAAGACAGTGCGGACATCCGCCTTGCTCTGCAAGGGGAAGACCGTGGTGTAGCGCTTGTGGTCATCAACCACCAGCACGAAGTAGCACTCTCGGTCCTGTCCACTGACGCGGGAGGGGTCCCACACGTCCATGTGGAGAGTCTGCAGAGGAGCCATGGTCGGAAGAAACGAGGAAGAGTGAGGAGCGGCGCGCTGCCGCCCCTCGACACAGGTAAGGCACGGCGATGCAAGCGACCTTATGAGTGGAGGCAGAGATCTGGGGACGCCAGAGACAAGAAGACGGGAGTGCATGCTACGTAGATGCGGCAGGGAGGGGTGACCCATACAGTGGTGCCAGAGGAGAGACGGGTGCGTGAGTAACCGATACTGGCAAGACGCAGCTACCTGACCGGACGCAGCTACCTGTGCAGACTTAGTGGTCAGTGTGTACAAGCCAGACCCAGGACTCCGAGTGAACGTGGCGAGGTGGGCGCGAGTCCGTGAGTCCGTACAGATCGCCACAAGCTCACCCCCAGGAGTAGTGGTAATGACCAACTGGTCCTGGAGGACTCACCAAGTTCGTAGCGAACGAGGGGAGGTGGAGACCTGAGAGGGAGCCAGAGGGGGTTGCCGGACACGGGAATACGGCGGAGGCACGTGCAACGACTGGGCCCCCAGAAGGGTCAGCCAGAGTGACCGCGACATGTGCAGTGAGCGGTGTGACTGTTGTGCAGTCGCGTAAAAGCAGCGAGACGTGCGTGAGTCAAGCGTGAAGGTGTGCAAAGCCTCGGAAGGAAGTGCACCTGTGCTGGAAGGCTCACTAGCACCTAGACTAACAGCCTCGACACCAGCAGCTCTAGGCACACACGTGTAACAGTCACCCTCAACAGTAGTAGAAGCAGATTGCATAGCATATATGCCAGCACTGATCTTGTCCCAATCAAGAGCAAACACATCAACCCCCTTCGGGAGCAATCCTTACCAGTTAGGGATCTCAGTCTCGTCACTGAACTCAGTACGGAAGGCATCCTCAAGACGGAAGAAGCAGCAATACTCAAGGTGCCCCATCTTGACGCAGGGCTCACGAGCCCATAGACCCGTGCGCCTGACGTACGGCCAGCGACCACTACCCCTAAAGGAGCTACGATGGACAACCCATTTAGGAAGCTGCTGGGGCAAGAGAGTCTCCAGACGTCGTGGCTGCTGCTTCTGTCCACCCCCACAGCCTTCGCCGCCACGAGCTGCACCCCCAGATGCCGCCCCAGCGCCTCCAGCCCTACCAGCTCCACCGCAATCAACTCCCGAACCCCATCCGCCCACCCCACTACCTCCACTACCCCCGCCACGTCCACCGCCGGTGCCGCTACCACCTCCTCCACCCCCTCCATCACCACCGCCACCACCCCCGCCACCACCCCCGCCAACGCCACCCCCACCACCCTTACCCCCCTGCCCTTGCCACTGCGGCGCCTCCCACTAGGAGCAGACGCAACACTGACCTCCCCAGCGCTTGAGGCCGTAGAGTGGGATGAGTAGCGCTTGACTACAGCGTCATGAAGCTCTTTGGCCGTCGTCAGCTGGCCAAAATGGGGCCTCTCATCAAGTGGGAGGTGGTTGCGAACAGCAGGGCGGCAAGTAGCCTCGCGCATGAGCCATTTGGAACGAGCTACACGGTCAGCCGTCTCATCTGGGGCGGAAAGGGACCCCGACATATGCTCATACAGTGAGACATCGTCCCTAGCTAC